CCCCCCCATCAATCGCTGAGGAAACCGGCTAGGACCCCGCAGCGCGGCCCGGGCAGGTGAGCCGCCCTACCTGGCTCACCTGCGGTGCTTTCTCCTCCCGTCTTGCCCGCCCCTCCCCCCGCGCGCCCGCCCTCTAGCTCGGGTTACCTGCGCAAACTCACCCACCTAGAGGTGGAGGCCGTGGGGAATTGGGAGGGGCCCCCCGCCGCACCCTGAGACTTCTAGGGCGAGTTTGCAGGTGTGGGCTCCGCAGTCTCTCCTCTCCGGGCGCCAGTGGCTGCGAGGCTGGGCATGGGGGAGCAGCGCACGTCTTGCCCCCGCGGCTACGCAGCGCCTCAAGACTTGAAGGTGGGGAGCGGCGCCTCTTCACACAGCACCCCTTCCCTCTGCCTGGGGCCGCTTCTCCCCTTCAACCTGCTCTTGGGGGAGGTGGGGCTCCCTAGAAGGAGGAAAAGGAAGCAGCCTCCGTGCCCCGCGGCGGCAGCTCGGGCCGGGCGAGCAACAAGCGCCGGAGCGGGAGAGACGGAATTGTAGATCCGGCTCCGGGCTCCCAGGGCGGGAGAGCAGCCGCTGGCATTTAAAGAGACAGGCGCTCGCTCCCGGAGCCCGGGTCTTTCCTGCACTGCGCTGAGCCTCAGGCATCCCCGCCTCCGCCCCGCCCACACGGGCCACGGGGCTCCGCCCATACCACACCCCCGCTCCGGAGCGGGTTTAAATCCCGCCGGTAAATAACCGACGGGTCGACTGGCCTGGCGGTCTTCGCGCCTAACCAGTAGGATCTTTGCTTACCTTCTTAGAGCAAGACCTTGTTGTGAAGTCCTCGCTGCTTGCTCAGGTAGTATTTTTCGGAGCTGTGAGCTTTAAAATGGAGTTGGAAAGCAAACGCCACCTGCCAGTGTAGAAAGGAGAGAGGGATTAAGAGTTTGGTGTTTGTTCCGTTTCCCCTTCGTCTCTTCATCCCCAGAGTACCTGGAGAGGGAGGAACAGTCATTAGAAAGCAAACAAACTTTTGTTTCTTTCTTTTCTTTCCTAGAACCGATTTCTTGCCAAAGGTCACAGAAGAGAATTTTGTACTAGGACAGCTAGAGAAGTGCTTCCGTTTAGAGGTATTACCAGAATAAGCCCTGTGAAACTTTCAGATAGGGAAAAAGAAAAAAAAAATTCACAGAAAGGAAACAGTATAAAACAGAATGAAGACTTAGTTGCTGACTTGGTTCCAAGACCCGGGCTCTTAATAATGTCCCTCGAAGTTAGTACAAAGTTGATTTCATAACCTCCATTGTTGTTTTGAGAGTTACCAGTTCATACATGGGATAGTGAAAGAAAGCATTCACCTCTGCTTGTTTATTTTGGGGGTAGAGGATGTAGGAATTGCCTAATTGTCTTTAAGAACATATTACCAGAGGCCCTCGGTGGATATATTTCCTTCCTGCTG